CCACCATAGCAAATAGTACATGGTAAATGAAAATGCCTCTTGAATAGCCCATGAAGTAAAAAGTAATTGGTGTTTACAATATTCTTCCACTTTTCCCCACGCTCTGCGGACACACCGAACTTTGAGATGTGTATGTCAGTACATAGCTTCATAGTGCTTAGGGTCGGAAGGGACCTAAACAGATTATCAGGTCTGACCCCCAGCCCTGGGCAGGAACAAGTGCTGGGGTCATAACACCCCAGCCAAATATCTGTCCAGCCTCCCCTTGAAAACCCCCAATGTAGGAGAGAGCACCATGTCCCTTGGGAGTCCATTCGAGAGCCTGGCAGATCTAACTGTAAAGTAATGTCTCCTGACGTCCAGCCTGAACCTTCTCTCTAACAATTTGTGGCCATTATTCCTAGTAACCCCCAGTGGTGCCCAAGGTAACAGAGCCTCACCCAATTCCTGCTGGTCCCCCCGGTGACTTTGTAAATGGCCACCAGATCCCCTCTCAGGTTTCTCTTATGGAGGCTGAATAGATTCAGGCCCTTCAGCCTCTCTTTGTAGGGCCTGACCCGCTGCCCCTTGACCATGTGAGTGGCTCTCCTCTGGACCCTCTCAATGCTAGCCACATCCTTCTTCAAGTGGAGTGCCCAAAACTGGATGCAGCACTCCAACTGTAGCCTGACCAATGCCACGTAGAGGAGAAAGGTTACCTCCTTGGACCTGCTTGTGATGCATCTGTCAGCCTTATTGACCCCTTCCTTGCACTGGTGGCTCATGTGCATCCTGGAGTCAACAATAACTACCGTGGGGATCTTTAAGAAGAGGCTTGATGACTACCTGGCTGGACTCATTTGAGTCCAGTCTTTTCTCCCGCCCAGGCGGGGGGTCGGACCTGAAGATCTACAAGGTCCCTTCTGACCCTACTTCTGTGATTCTATGAATAACTCCAAGATCCTTTTCTGCCAGTGTTTTGACAAAAGGGGTGCTCCCCAGCCAATAGGTGTGTTGCTGGTTCCTTCTCCCTAGATGCAGCACCCTGCACTTGTCTGCATTGAATTCCATCCTATTCTCATCCATCCACCTCTGTAACCTGTCTAGATCTAGCTGGATTCTGTCCCACCCCTCCAGCATGTCCACCTCACCACTCATCTTGGTGTCGTCAGCGAATTTGGAAAGTGTGCTTTCCACACCCACATCCAGATCACTGATAAAGATGTTGAAAAGTACAGGCCGCAGGACTGAGCCCTGGGGAGTCCACTGCCCACATCCCTCCAGGTCAAAAACCACTCTCTGGGTCCAACCATCTAGCCAATTTGGCTAGTAACTTTCCATAATCCTCAATATGCTGTCATAATTATGCCACCAGGTGTGCTGGGGTAGCATCACAGCTCTATTCATGAGAAGCATGTTACTTCCCCCTTCATGAAGAAAGCTGTGAGACAACTCAAGGGACAGTGCATAGGAAAATGTGACACGATGCCCTATCTCCCCACCTTGTGATAGTAACACAACAGGCCATGATCTTCCCCTACAGGAATTAGAAGATACCCAACTACTATAATTTTATCTTAAATTTCTGCCAGGAGTTCACAGAATGTGAACCATCTCTTTCCGTCTTGCATGCCAGCTTGTCTCTCTGGCAAATTCTACAAGATTTCTCACTATCGACTTCATTGTAACGTGTCCAAAACAAAGCACCTCAGCTGTCCAACAAACCCCTGCCACCACCTCAAACAATTCTGTGATGCTGTTAAGAAACACCCCCCACCCTGCAGTTTCCGCCTATAACAAAACTATCACTTGCAGAGCTCAGGGTTGCCAGTCCCAAGAATTCAAATATCACGTTTGGCTTCCAAAATATGATGTGACTGGTTTAGAAATAATGAGATTACAAATATAATAAAAAGATATCAAAGTCTACTAATCTCCCAGTGTTTGAGCATTTTAGGGTTCACGTTGTCAAGGTTTTGTCCGTAGTGAATACTTTTTTTTTTGTAGTGAAAAACTTAGATTCTCACATAACTCCCTAAGGCAGAGAGACAAATCCCCTGATATTTAATACTGGGAGACTGCAGTAAACACACAGAAATTAACAACAGTGCACACCAAACGGCTAATCAACATCCACATTCTATGCTTCTGGTAACTATTTTTGAACCCCCACCCATTCAGAAGCACCCCAATCACTTTCCTTCTGTTATGCTGCTGTCTGAAATCTGGCTTTTTCTAACAATCAGCATTCCTATTCAGACTCATTATCACATGTCTAGCCTACAACAACTTCCTCTTCTCATACCTCTAATTCATATTGTGTATTCTGAACACAGCTGCTAGAATCACCTTTTTTGCTCTTCTTTCTGATCAAACACGTACCCTCTTTGAAGCCCTGACCTGTCTCCTTCCCACTTGGTGTGGCCAATGATGCCACACTTGATTGCTCATTTTCACACTTCTACATGTGCTATTGTGCCTTCTCCCCTGTGGCCTTCTATGGTAGCAGCCACCTCCCAAAATTAATCCATGGGACCAGTAGTCTCCACACTTCAAATCTCTCCTGCACCCCATGATGGGGCTGGAACTTCCACAATACTTCTGATGATGGAGGGGGCTGGTGTGGTTAGGAGGAATTGAAAGACAGTATGCAAGATCACATGTGTTCACAGGCTAGGCTCCCCACAAACACACCCAAATCCAAAATATGACTCTGCACTCAGCAGCCTATTCATTGCCTCTCTCTCAGAGCACCAAATGAAACAGGAAGTCCCCAAACTCTAAAATATGGGGAAAGGCTTAGCTTGGCTTAGCTAGGCCAGCCACACTGTGTGTACCTAGTGGTCCATCCCTGCCCTAGAATAGGAGCCTTCTATGAGGTACACTGAATGTAGCTCTGAAGTAGTAATGATCTGTATTGCTTTACAAAGGGTTCAATGTTCAACCCTCCTGGTGCTGAGAAATAGGGGACTATGGCAGTTGCTTATAAAAGAAAGTCAGAATAAATCCTATAGAAAAAGAAATCACTGTAAATAAACTACTTACCAGAGAGGCTATGGATTTTGGTTACAAGGTTACTCAACAACTAAAAAATACTAGATTTATCACTGCTTGCATAACTTCAATTTACTCTACCCTTTGTTTGCTGGCTTTGTGTATGCATTATGATACAGGCTTTAATTTCATGATCACACACTATTTTTTCCACAGGTCCTCTGCCTTATTCAGTACATAAGAATGGAAAAGAGGGAAGAATTAATATCTTTTAGCAGCTAAATGGTCACATTTGCTACCTTTTTTTTTTTTTTAATTTGCAGTCTGAAAACCCCCCCAAAAACTCTTGACAAGTTTGAGGGCCCTGGTACATGTTCAGATTAAAGCAGGAGAGAAACCAGTTATCGAGCTGTTACACATTTTTAAGCACTAACTTTATAGCTGGTTGGCTCTTTATAGCTGCTTAGTCATTTTTATCATGTGATATTACTTTGCATGTGCAGCTGGTTTAAATCTATTGCATAATTAACCAGTTAATTGTGTGATAATTACTTTGCACTTGTGGCTGGTCTTATTTTGCACATGTGGCAAGTCTAGACTTATTGTGTGATTAACCAGTTAATTGTGTGATAATTACTTTGCACTTGTGGCTGGTCTTATTTTGCACATGTGGCAAGTCTAGACTTATTGTGTGATTAACCAGTTAATTGCATAATATATGTAGCATGTAGCAGGGGCCTTATTGTAACATCATTTTTCCAGAACGTAGCTTGCTACAATAATTGTTGTACTAAAAAAGTCAGTACTGTTTCTGGTCCCTGGTGTATAAACATTTTTCCTTATATAACTAGCCTTTGTGTATGCTACTTCTGTTTGCTCTATAAAGTCAAGTGACAGGTTTTGTAATCAAGTGGATATCAACTGAGTTGAGGACAGATTGTGACAGACTGTTACACAATTACACATGGGTAGGAACTGCATAGTAAACCTTCCTACTTTTGTCACTCTCTACGAAGGACGAATGAACCATACAATCCCTTTGCTTGAAGAAGTGCTGGCTTGGTTACTCCATGAACCACTGGAAACGCACACTGGCCCCAAAGCCCCCATTACATATCTGTGCACTCTGCAGGCCAGGTGCACACAGGCAAGTTTGCTGCAAGTCAAATGGGGTCACAGCAGGCCTCTCGTCAGCCATGTTGGAAGCCCTGGAAGCCATTTTACCTGAGGATGAGTACCTCCCAGACAACACCTGGTCCTTGTCTTGGAGGGAGCATCTTTCTACCATCTCTAATACAGAGCTGTAAATGGGACATACAGCAGGTACACTGTGAACAGCCCTGCCAAAAGACCTATGGAGATTTATGAACCATATTCCAACCTTTTTTAATGCAGCACAAGGTCAAAGCCACTACAGTGTAATCACTATAGTTACTATGTATACACAGTGGTATAACTGGGATCAGAATTTGGCTATACATATATATGTTACCAGACTCTTATTCCCAGTTAGTACACTGAAAGCTGCTTCAAGTGATGTGAAGTACACTCAAAGTTGTTATAATCTGTTTGGGGAGTCCATAGCAGTTGCAGTGCTGGTGTAGCCAGTTCTGCACCACTGTCTCAACCTATCTGGCAGAAAAGATTTGGAGTGGGGAAAAAGTGCTATCCAAGCACCCTTTCATTTCAGCAATTCTTAGTTATTAAAATGCCCATGTATTTCAACCCAAAGGAGATACAGAACTCTTGAAGCAGTTCTGAATTGTTCCCAAGAACCATAAGAGTGCCTATGAGCCTTAAAATGATAGTCAGAAGGTTTAGTCATCTGACTCCAAGTAGCTGATTTTGTGGGCAAATATTCTTACTAATTTTGTTATTTTGTAAGTAAGATATACCTAGGAGACCTCCCCAAATATAAGAAAATACATATACACCATTGCCTATGTTTTTCAAAACTATTTAAAATGTAATGCATACCTCAGATGCTGACTTGAAAATCAAGCATATAAGAGACGCTTAGGACTTACCGTTACACCAAAGAAGTTAGTTTCATTCATAGCATCCAGAAAAATTTTGCCAAGTTTATGGTTTGTGTAATTAAAATCCTCAATTTTTTGGTGCCTGTTGGTAGCATTGAGATACTTCATTGCCCGCTGTAGCGTTTTGGCAATCACCCATATTCCATCATAGGCATAACCATGAAATTTACTGGACTGTCCATCTCCACGTTTAGCATTGTATTCCTTTTCATACTGTTGTGGAGTCTGTAGAGAAGGAAATAAATCTTTACTACTTTGCATGTCACAGATTTGGATCCACAATTTGCACCCTAAAAATACATTTTATAAACATGTCCTACTGATAATATGCAAGATCCCTAAACAAGGGCTAGGCAAGAGTTAAAATCTGAGAAGCTCCTGCACTTTCCTGAATTGCAAGAGTGATGATATCAGGAGTGGAGGAAAGGATCTAGACAGAGAGAAAATTCTTCCAAAGCTCTGTCATGTAGCACATTGATTCTCAATCACTGCTCTATTCTTAAGCAGGCCAGGAAATCCTTCTAAGGGTGCTGTATAATAATAGCACTGTTAGGTGTGAAAACCATGATTCACACGATAAACCCAGAGATTTCAAATAGGAACCTATAGCATCAAAAACATTCTGACTTGTTCTTCTTTCTGAGAACTTTGCAACAGAAAAATTGCTCTACTATTTTTCCATAGTTAAAAAATTAGTGAAACCTATGAGTTGGCATTTTCTGAAGGGTTCCTTGGGAGTGTCCAGACGAATGTGGCCATGAGGTATGTGGTGACTCAAACATGTTTGCAGCATCATATACTGCGTTGCCAGGTGTTGTCTGCCCTTCAAGTGTGCATTGCCTGTGCATGTGCTACTCCGTTTTTTTTCCATGGGGTTTTTTGACCCTGGATATCCAAGGGTCAAAAAAAGCTCATGGAAAAAAACCCAGTAGTGCATGCATGGGCAGTGGATGCTGCTGAAAAGCAGAGCCAGGCCACCCAGAGGCATGGTGCTGCTGCCAGCCAGGTTCTGCCCAGGTGGATTGCCAATTCTGCAGCCCCGGGAGGGCCCCAGGTAAGGCCCAGTGCTGGCCCCAGCCTCGCCAAACATCCCTGGGGCAACTTGCTGCCTGACAAAGTGTGTGTAGCCCGGGTGCCCCTGGGGTGCCAAACATCTGCGCTCATCTGGACATGCCCCTTTAGTCTAACAAGGTTGAGAACCACTGATTCAAAGGTTTGGTGATGCCCTAAAGTGCAATGTTACATAAACTTTCCATTTTTTCTTAATATGTGATTACTCTGAACAATAAACGTCAATTTTTTTAACCTTGTTAAACTTGCAACGACCTTGGTGTTCTGTCATGGGAACAAGGTCCTTACACCATTTCAGACTGTACAAGTGCAAAAGGCGCACAGGAGTGACATTTTTACCCATGGGCGAGCACATGCATGTATTTCTGCATATATTTATGAAATGTTAGACAGAGAGCTAGAAAGTAAAAAGCACCTTTGAACCTCACATGGTCACATTCTTACCTGGAATGCTACATATCCCGTATCTAAAACCTAAAGGCCCATCTAATTTTGTGAGAGACAGAGTAACGCTGAAGTCAACTTTATGCAGAATTGGGCTTAACCAAGTAAAAATGAGAGCACAAAAAATTGAAAGAGATTGCAAGCAGAGTCTAGTTTTTTATTTGACGATTTCACTGACACCATGCAGCATGTGATATTGTGGACTGCAATTTGTGCGTTTTGGGATGCTTTATTGGGTATCTCGTGATAAGGGGGAAAAAAGACAAAATTGAGATGCATTTCACCTGCACCTCATCCTATAGAAGAAAAAATGGTTTCTAAAGTAGTAGCAGTAGTAGTAGTACACGGAAGGAAAAAAAAAGAATAATTAAAACAACTACACTATAAGTTCAACTAAAGAAATGAGAATAATCTTTAATAGAAGAATTGATCTCGTTTAACCAGAATAATTAGTGTTGTATTTTTTCAATAAGTATGATGGATAAAAAGTGTCTCAGAAAATTATGGGACTGCTCACTGAAGAAGTGTTGGAAAACCAGGGCAACTAATAGAGGGATCCCTAGCTTTAGGAATAAACAGGCTCCAGTTGCATTACCTGCTTTGGTGGTGTTTATAGCAGCACTCTTGCACTTTAAACAGAGCCTTTGTCAGCAGACTAATTGCTCAGCAGTAGGCTGTGTAAAGCTTTGGTCCCGGACTTGATTTGGTGGAGATTCGGCCCAATTCAGTGACCGAATCTCCAAATCCAAATCGAATCAGAGGACCCTTTAATCTCTCCAAATCGAATCGGAACCCTCCGAATCAATTCGGAGAGTTTTGAAAGATTCCACAATTCAGACATAGACACAGCTTAAATATTTTTTTCTACATACCTCAAGGTACCAGGCAGCTTGCGAATGCTACGGTGTGGCAGATGGAGCATCCCACAGGAGCGTAGGGGGCTCCCCAGTGCGCTCAGCAGCACACCCAGAAACGGACCAGAAGGACTTCCGGTTCACTTCTGGATCCATTAAGGAGTGTGTGGGTGGGCCCCCCACAGCCCCCCTGCTCAGCAACTGGTGCCTCCTGGGTCTTGGGGGGCTCCTGGAGTCCCCCTACTGCTGATCACTGAGCTGGGGGAGATGTGTGTGGGGGGTCCATGTGCTCATCAGCGGACCCAGAAGTGGACTGGAAGTACTTCTGGTCCGCTTCCAAGTTCACTGCTGAGCACGAGCACACGGGGGCGGGGAGGGGGGGAGTGCTCCTGTGAGATGCTCCATCTGCCCCACATCACAGCGTTCATGAGCTGCACCTGATACCTTGAGGTATGTAAAAAAAACATTTAAAGCTGTGTCTATGGCTGAAGCGCTGATTCTCTGAATCAGCATTGAATCTTCAAATTCAGATTCAGCTGAACTGAATCAGGGACAGTGATCTGAACTAACGAATCAAATCCCTGTCCCCGATTCGGGCCAAATCTGAATCGAATATGACCTTTTCGCACACCCCTACTCAGCAGTTCAGCAGCAATGATTTCCTCCACATGAGTGCCTCCAGAAAATTTTCTGGCCCACAAGAACAACTGTCAGACACTTATTTCCGCTTGAGAATACATACCAAGAGAAAGAAAGCAGGAGTCCCACTGTGCATGTGAAAAGGGGCAGAAGGTAAGGGAATGAGAGTCTGGAGTCCACTCATGGATGGAGGAAAGTAAAATAATGCAAGAAGACAACAGGGAATGAAAGTTATGGAACATGGCAAAGCATCTCAAGTCCACAGGAGAGTGAACAGAGAAGATGAGGGGTTGCTGTATATGAGTTATTTGGAGATACACATAACTCCCTCACTTTTCTGGCCACTGAAGGTACTTAAAGGCACAAAATAAATCCAAACCCTACAGGGGTTCTCCCTGTAGTTATCACATTTTAAACAACTGGGTGGCAAAACAATATGGACCATAGTAGGAATATTTTTAAATGCTATACAAACATTGTGGGAAAAAGGACACTAACCCTTCCTGATATGGTCTTTATCACTTTTGAACTAAGGGGTTCAAAATCCACTCCAATGTAACCTTCCATGGCAGTGAGAAGATTCTTCCTGAGACACTGCGAAGAATTAATCCAAGATTCCCACCAGGAACTTTCATACCAGCCAGGAATTATCCATTGATATTTACTGCCATACATCTCCTCATCATATGCCTACAAATTAAAGAAAATAATAAAAAAGAAAGTTAGTAGACATCTAGCAGCTTACTGATTAGAAAACCCTTCAGGTACACATTAAAAAATCCTGTTTAATTTTCTACATAATTAATACATTGATGTAATAATTAAAAGATACGAAGTATTTGCTATGACAAAAAAAAAGCAGGAAGGGAAAAGCATGGAAGTGGAGCAATTCCATAAACAATCTTTTCTAATGTGCTATTAAACATCAGTATGGATACATAGGAGCATGAACACACACTCTCTCTCTCTCTCTCACACACACACACACACAAGCAGGTATTGCTAATGTGAAATATCTTTATTAATCACCAGGTCATAGTAATTTGTCTCAGGTTAAGCACACTTGTTATCAATAAATTGCATTATATCAGAGCTGGGAACATAGCCTTTTGCTACAGTTCATGCTAAATTGCTAAAGAAATAGCATGCTAAATCATCCAAAAACTGAAACCGAGAATTAGGGAGAGAATGAAAACAAAAAATCATAAGCCTGTAACCAATAAGTCAACAATTCAGTGTTGCAAATGCCCTTGCTGTGATTGTAATGTAACTGGTATAGAAACATTAAGGCCCAAATACTATTTCATCTAAAAGTATCTAAATGCTGCTTCAGCATCCAAACAGTTTCATAAGAAGCATTTTTGATGGTTACAAATTTTAAATCCTGTTTCCATCTGCACAACTAGTCTTGTCCTTCTGAGCATGCTTAGAAAGGATCTGCAGAGACCAAATATGGTCTAGAGCAATCTTGTTTCTCCACCTTTTAGCTGAGGGGTGTCAAACTCAACCCAGGTCCCTGGTTGAATCCAGATGATGGGGGCTCCTTCTGGACTAGATCTGTGGGGAGCCAGCAGCAACTGCAGTGGGACTGCACTCAAGCAGCAGTGCGATTCTGGGGACCTAACACCGATGGCCATGTTCACTGGAGTCAGGGACCCCCAATTCTGCAGTAGCACACACCCTCAACCTCCAGTAGCCCACCAGTCCACTGGCAGACCTCATGGACCAGTTCCATGGGCTGGATGTTTGACACCCCTGCTTTAGCCCAATGCTGCAATGGCTGGAGGACTTTCCCAGGAAGCAGAACACCTAGGTTTAAGGTCTTCCCAGTTTAGCAGGGGATTAAACTTACCTCCCCTAACTCATTCCCAGAGTAGTGCTTTAAACACTAGGCCACAGGCTAGGAATTGCCCAGAGCATCATCTTGAAGCTGAGGCAAGATATTTGGCCAAGAGAAGAACTAAGCAAATAGCAGCAGACTGGGGCTCAGTGAGAAGGACACTCGCCAGGAAGGGAAGGTGCCTGCAGTTCTGACCCTTGACCTTTCTCCTACTATTGTATATCCTTCTTATCAAAATATTATTAAAGTCAAAACAGAAACACCACTGTAGAGGGGTAGAGGCAGGGGCCAAAGACAAGGGCACCCTTCTGTCTATGGCAGTATCCATTTCACAGATTGAGAGAGCCATTTCCTGAGTGCGCATAATGGCTCCTCAGTGGCTCGTCAGCGTGTTCAGAAGGGCAAATCTAGTGAGGCAGGTGGAAATAGGATCAAAAATACTAAGTGGCAAGGAGGCAGAAGAGAATTTGGGCCTATGTAGTACTTTTTTGAGGAGGATGAATTAACAGTAAATGTGGTAGCATGACAGCCATGTCACAGTAATTCTTTTCCCATACAGAACTTACTAAGTTAATATTGATCCTTTTCTTAAAAATATTGAGTACTCGTTTAACACACAGAAACTGACACTATGTCAATCTACTTAAAAAATATAACATACACAAAGCAGACAATGCATCTACAGTGTTTTGTTTGGTTTTTTTAGACACATAGGGCCCCTTTACATGTGCAGGTAAAGGCGCAGTGGGGTCTAATGTGTGATCCATGCAAAATCACGTCTTCTGCCATGCCACATATGCATGGCAGGAAGTGTAATTGTGGGATTCTTCATTACATCCCATCACACCTTACTGCCAGTGCAGGGGAGCTTAATCCTGGGATTCCCTTGTACTGGCAAGAAGCAAGCAATTGAAGCTGGGAGCCCCCTCACTTGAGTGTCCTTCCAACCATGATCACCATGGGTAGGAGATTCAGTTGCAGCAATCTCCCAGCCTCAGGGGAGTTTGAAACCTCTGCCACGGTCTTCTAGCCTTGGGGGGGGGGGGGGGGGGG